ACTGTATGGTATTATTGGTTACCAAACGTTATTATTTATGATAAAAGATAGTACCTTTGGCGGATTATATAACACAAAAATCTAAATTTGTTTTGGTTAGAATTCCGTTCTTTTTTTTATTTAAATTTACTTTTATTAAACTTTTATTCAAATATATTATTGCAGATGATATCAACTTAGATACATTATCTTTATATGTTGATGACGTTTGTTCATACATTGCTGGTTTTATGGTAAAAACACCAGAAACAAGAATAAATTGTAAATCATGTAAAATGCAGCTTCAATATGATTACCAATGACGAAAGTCATTTGAGTATAATCAAAGATAAAAGGGGCCTAAAAAGCCAAGTAAAGATGTTATATCAATATGCAAAATATCAGAAAATATATTTCGATAACACCACATGAAATCCATAATAAAAACAAAAATTAATTTTCTGCTTACAATAAATAAAGTTTAAAATGTTTTACACAATAGGTTCAATATATTTAAAAAAAATGGATTGTGTATCTATTGATTCTAGTACCTTACTTGATGGCATTCAACAATTTGACTCATAGAAGCTATTAATAGAAAATGTAATACAAAATATATCAAAATTAGACTATTCCGTGAATCTAGAAAAACGAATAACATTCTTAAAATTGAGAAAAAGTTTAAAAAAAATTCCACATTTTAGGAATGAGTAAAAAATGGGCATTGCAAACTTTTTAATAATTTAATTATACCATATTTTATACTTATGACAATATTTGGTACACTTATTTTTTTATACTTGGTAATAACCATTATAATAGATGTTTTTACTTACATTTTAAGGCATTTGGATATTGTGTTTTTTATACTTTTGTTTGNAGTTAGAGACCATGTTACTACACGTATGAAATGATTTACTATTAAGTAAATGTAATAATTATTAACTATTATTATTGTAATATTGAACATTATTAAACTAAAATCTTATTATATGAAATATCAATAAGAAATTATAAAAATATTTATTGTTATCAGACCTTTTTATTTTGATACTATTATGATGGTTTGAACCAGAAATGTGGTATCTTCCAGGTTCTTTTTGCATGCTACCTGATACACGATTCATATATGAATGTCCCATCCTTTATGTATTATCTATTTCTATAACTATGCTCTCTTAGAAGTCACATACTGTTTATTATCAGTGTATATTTTTTATATATATTGTTAATTCGCTAGTATAGTTAATATAATAAAATGTGATTGATACAGGTACTAATTTTTTTTGTTTTTTTTTTAACCAATGGAAAGAGAAGAACATTATAAACGGTATGTAATATTAATCTGGTGTTGAAAACAGTACCATTACTAGCAATACTAAGCAATACTATCGGCCGAACCCCACTCAGAATCGTTTTTTGGTTAGCAATAGTTAATTGTTGCTTACAGATATATATACATGTACCTATAAGCTAACTATAACGGTACCTGCGTTCGTCCCTATTATCCTAAGACAGCTTTTTAACCTTTTAAGCACCTTTTACTGAATTTAAAATTTAATATTTTTTTATTGACTACAACCTAAATTATAATGTAATATTATTGTGATGATAAAGCGGACTATGCGATATCGCCGCATGAGTTATAATTTTCTAAACGCAGAAAAACCACAACGAATTAGAAATGTCAATAATAATATAATATACTATATATTACTATATAGTAATTAAATAAAAATAAAACCAAAATTGTTGTTATCTTCCATATTGACAGAAACCGCATTTGAGACTTTATTAAAAATCTACTTTCATCATAACCTTCATGCAAATTTGGGGGATAGGAGGTTTGAACCCCTTAAATCCCCCTTTGTATACGCACCTGGTGTTTACCTTGTTTAATATACCTAGTTTATTTAAATGAACCAGAGGGTCAGGAGTAAATCCCCAAACGGAGATTCAAAAATCTTGTTCCCCAAATTTTTGCCCCAGTCCAATAATCGTTATTTTAGATTTAGCAGACCACAGAAAGATTTGTATTGATTTTTCTATAAAACCTGCTATATTTATATTAATTTTATCTGCCTGTTCATACATTTTCTACCAAAAACCATGCTCCATTTTTTTTAAGTGGAGGATCGTATATTACTTTCCACCTTAGTACGATAAAAAAAACAAAATTAATCATTATTCCCGTTTTTCCTTAGCTGCATTCCGGTTTTTTTCGGTTATTAAGACGACTACAAGGAAAATAAAAAATAATCCTCTGTTCCACCAACTAGATATGAAATTCCACACAATTTATAAACAAAAAAAAAAAGCGCACATCATATTCATACTAAAAAATACCTTGTTGCGTTTAGAACTTAAAAATAGCCAATTGGTGCCAAAACATCAATAACATAATGCATATAATTTTATAATTTAAAATCGAAATATTAAGAGGACTTGATATATCCGTAAATTGAGCGTAAAAACATAGTTATTAAGTGACAGTACCATTTTAATAATAATTATGGTAGATCGATAATTTTTTTTTATTTTAATAAGGAGAACTTTAGTTGTGACGTAGCTCTTTTCACTGATACAAAAAGGTTTAAAAATATTAATATTTAAAGTTTGTAAATATTTCTAGTTTTTTGTTTATAAATATAAAATTATTAAGATAAGTTATTGAAAAATAGAAAACGCTACGTCAAAGACAATTTTTTCCTTATTAAAATAAAAAAAAATGGTTTTATTTTACGTAAAACTGTTTTTCAGTGTAAAAACGTTGTCAAATAATTATTTCGCAAGGGCGGAGATACGTTGCACGCCACGCCATCTCTCGTGCGTTGCTCTTGAACAGCTTTTGGTATCACGTTCTCTTAATGCCAGGAACTTGGCACGTTCGAAATTTGGGCTTTCCTAATTTATTTCACAAATAAAATATGAAATTATCACAGTAGATTAATCGAGAATACCTATTGTGTATTTTGCATTACCACCGACCTCGATTAAAGATATACTGGTTTAGCCGGTTACTAATATGTTAGTTTTGGAGTAGGTTGTAGTTGGAGTAGGAATATAATACTAAATAATAACGTTATAGATCGCACGGTATAATTGTTAGAGCGAAAACATGTGTTCGTGGTGAGGAATGGCGTACGGTAGTTATACGCGGTAACGTTGACGAGCGGAGCATCGCGAACAATTGTATCGGTGACTACGGCGGCGGACGATGCGGCGACCGGTCGCCGGCCGGTGCTCGGAGGCGTGGCCAACGTCCGCGCAGTGCGATTTTCCCCGGGGAAGAAGCATTGTGGCGTATAGTCCGCCACACTGGTTACACAACGAGCTTTGATAAAAACATAGAATTTAGTTTCCGAAGTGTCTTCGATAATTCGTTGATATGAAAAGACAACTAACATTCATAATGGACTAAGATATCTTAGGGTTCGTGATAATTATTATTTATTTACCGTCACTGCATCAGTTCATTTTACACTTAGATCATTTATTAATGATAGAGCTATTGACTAAATATTTGAAGCAAACATAACTAAGGGGAGTTGGAAAAAATACGCATGCACTAAATATATATCACGCGCAATTGATCGAATTCATGTAATCACATATGATGTGTCTATCATTACTGTCTGGTGGTATTACAATGATAATACGATAAATATGCGACGAGTACTGATACGCATGCGCAATATACATCAGTCTCCTTATCACTTGTTAATAATTATTTATTCAATTCGTAGTATGCGCATTTATCATGTAGTATCTTTATGATCCACGATTTAAAATAGACAGGTTGTGCAACAAAACCTATAGATTCTGAGGCGCAAAGTTTCCATACGAGTATTACTTGTAAGAATTAATATGACTATCGCTCTGGTGCTCTAATGGTCAATAATCGCAATATTTTTTTTTTTCAAACCACAGCACATATCATTCATCATTATTGATATAACGATATAGGTATTTTCATTTTGTTAGTAAAAACAATTATTATTTATTACAACATTTCCTTATTTTCTCATTATTCTTACTAATATATATTTTATTTTTTCTATTTTATAAAAATATTTATTGACCCAATACTGGGTCACGACTTATAGGTTGGGAAACACAGATATATATTCTTGTATGAAGTATGGAATGGTTGATTTGGGTTTTTACTAATAACTGTTATTGAAAATCTATTTTTCAGATCTAAATTTTATCCAGAATAGATATCAGTATCTTAGTGCCAGTACGTAAATTAATATTTAATTATTTATAACTATACATATAATATACGTAATTTCTTTAATGTATATTTGTTAAGGCTTTTACCATAAACAATGTCAGTAGTGTTCTAAAAATATAAGTTTCAAATTACTTATCTAGATAAAGAAAAGAAATAATTATAGCCTAGGGTCAATTATGATTTACGCTTAAATTAAGAGAGTATCACGCTCTCCTAATACAAATCTATCTAGAAAAATGATTTGAAAAAATGCAAAACAATTAAATAATTTCAATAACCGTCATCTTATTTAGATATAAAAATTTTTTTTTAAATTTTTTTATCATAAGATGGATTTATAAAACTTCAAATAGAGATTTCAAAATACTTGTGGGACCATATTATTAATTTATATTAAAACATTTTATTTTTACAAATAAATTATTACATTTTTATCTAGTTTCATTATAAATATATAAATTATAATTTAAAAATAATTATTTAGATGGTTTAAATATTTTTCTTAAAATATAAGTTAATTCCCATATCTGAGTAATATTAAGGATAAATAACAAAATCTCAGACTCATATATTTTACCTAAGTACCCACTGCCATCCATACAAGACAAATTTTAGATTTAGAGTGAAACAAAAAAGTTTTTTTTTTAATATTTGTGCAACATTTCTACCGGAAGACTTGCTCGGATTTCTATGTGAATCATCTTTTTTGAAAGGTAATCGGCGTGGGAAGGTACTTGCAGTTCATTTTTCGATTTTTTCAAAAGTAAAGTAACTTTCACTTACCTCGTTGATCTGCAAAACAGCTAGAATTTCACCAACAGATCATTGGTTGTAATACGGTAGGTAAGAAAAAAGTGACTTGAATATGGATTGTTACTCGGGTGTGCAAAATACAATATGGATAGATGTAGGTATCGATAAANCGCCGTTATGTGTACACACATACAAATTACCCAAAGTAAACGTGAGTGTTCTATATACGACGCATAGAACACATGGATGTTTTTTCGGTTACCACTTTTCTAGGCGTATAGACAAACTGTTGTAATCAAAGGCAAGTGGGTGGAAGGTTAACGCATAAAATGTCTGTTAGAGTTCCCCCCGAAAAAATACACATATATGATTAGAAGTTGTGTATAGCCTTTCGGCGGATTTCTATAAAAAGTCAGCACGTTTAAATGTATAACAAAACAGAGTAATATTCGCAACAGATAGGTATATAGGAGTTATGGATTATTAAATGCAGTGATTCGCCTTCGGTTCTGCAACCTCAATACAGATATGAATAGGTATACCAAATATAGTAACCAACCTTAGATTCTACAACCACTATATTTGGGAGATAAAATTTGAAAGGATTGCATAGGTGTAGAAGGGACTTAGATAAGGAGAAGGATGAAAAAAATGATGTATACGGCGTCTTCTATAGGAATTCTGGGTCCCCCACTCTATTACCGCCGCTGACAAGATCGCAACGTAT